GGTATGCTGGGGAGAGGAGTTGGCTGTTCCGTGAGACCACCTGTCTTGGATCTAGATTTAGCTCATCTGCCTCTGTGCCTCTGTGCCTGGTATGAGCTCTCCACACTTGAAGTTTGAGAGCAGAGAAGTGAGGCCTTGCCAGTGCCATGACAGATTTGTCTGACATTTGTACTAAGGCACTGTAGGTGCTGGGCAGGGACAGAACCAGTTCAGATTTGCTTCTCCCCTCTCTGTACACCGATACCAGTGAAATACAGCTGTGTATTTAGCACACCTGTGTTAATGGCTATTGCTTGTGCTTCTGTTCCCTCCTGCAGGAGACATACACATCCTTCTGAAACAGCTTGTGTTGTTTGGTTACAATGAGCAAGCTGGGGCACTGCAGCAAGTCCTCGAAGAGATTTTGCAGTTGATGGAGACCTCCATCCCAGAAATCTGGACTCCAGGCCTGCAGCAGAGCTCTGTCAACCCGGTCTGTGCTCATCCACAATGCCTATCGTGTCTGCTATACCAGTACCAAGTATTCAGCAGTATTTCACATTCTCCAGTAAAGTGTCTGGAATGCTTCCATGGCTTTCCAAAGCTGCTTTTTTTTCTTTTTTAACAAAGAGATCAAATAGATACTCTGTACAGTACCTGCGAAGTCAGTGCGCTCTAGATGTGTCCTACAGGTAGAGCCTGCTATGTCCCTTGCACTGAATGCCACGTTGGATATGATAAGGTCTCATAATGCTTGTGTTACCTTGTCCTAGAGGTGACTTCATAAACTCTAGAACACAGAAACACCGTTGTATTCTAGGGTAGGGTGAGGCCTGATGGTTGAAGTGTTAGTACAGCTTTTATCTACTGGAATATTGATTGTCAGATCTGGTGTTATGAAATGAAAAACTACCAGACCAGTCAACTTAGTATGAACCCAGTATATAATAAGGAGTAAATTGCAAAAAAGAAGGGTTATGACAGGCTTCCAAACTTCAGCTTAATGCAGAATAAGGAAATCACGAGGACTGTGCTTAGTTCCCTTCCAAAGTAGAAGTCTTTATTTCTGATAAGTAGTTATTGAGCATTCATGGTGAACACAAGGTATTTGGCAGTATCTTTTCCCTAACTATTGACTCTAAGGATAGCTTAAAACTGTACCATGTGACAGGGAGCTGAGGCTCTCAGAGGAACTTTAAATATTGCTAGCACTGTAATGAAAGTACTTCTGCCAAGGCATGACACAGTGCAGTGAAGAAGTAAGTGCTGGGATTAGGGTTCTGTGTCCTGAGAAGCTGTCTGAAAGCAGTTCTCTCTTTCTGCCGCTGTGTCACCTTTTCTGAGATATCACTGGGCTTTGATTACATATTCCTTGTCACTTTGTACTGTGAGGTCTTTGGCAGGCAGCTGCTTATGCTTTTGGAGACTAACAACAGTTTTATTTGTAGCTATCCCTGCTCTCAGCCTTGCTTTGTACAGGTTGGAACACGGGTATTGGTTCTTCATACAGGTCCTGGGACCCAATTCAACAGCAAACAGCATTATGGCTGCCTATCAGCAGAAGAGGATGATGACTCCTTTTGTACAAGGTTGGTTGTGACTCTGAGTTAGGTGTGGGTGTGAAATGTCAGTGAGGTCAGTGGGCTCAAGGCTCTCCAAGCATTCATACCTGCCAACAGTTGTAGGAGCTTCTTGTTTTTCTTCAGGTTGTACCCTCCTGCCTTGTGGCAGGTGATCAGCGTTTTTAATAAGGTTTCATTTGCTCTGAGGTCCTTTTCTGCTCCTGAATTCCTCTTATGTGTGCTGGCTGTCTGTTATGAGGAAAGTGGAAGTCTGATTTCTTAGGGAATGTGTTGGATAATTCTGATTGTAACTTACGCGCTGAATTTTTCTGTCTGGCTTTGGCAGCCAGGCCAGGCTCTTGAGCAGGCCAGGCTACAGTCTGCCACGGTGCTTTGCCATTTGAAGTCCTTGCAAATATAAACTTAGGGCCGAGAGACCTAGCAAGGGCTGATCCCATCTCCCCTGTCTTCCCTCTTCCTCAGTAGTCCTACAGTCTGTTCCCCTACTAGTCCAGGAAGTGCCTGGAGAAATCTTCTAATAAACCTCTAGATGCGACCTGCCTGTTGCCACTTGCCAGGGAAAAAAACTTGTGCTGCTTCTTCAAACAGAGCCAGCTGACTCTTGTGTGTGATGTGTCTGTTACTGGTGAATGAATGGAATTTTGCTTTCTGCCATTGATTGTTGCCTCCTTGTTCTGAACGATCACACTTAAGGGAGAGGGGACTTGATTTGCCCCATAGATTTATTTCTGTAAGCAGTTCTGCTTGGGGCACTCTTCCCTGTGCAGGCAGGTCATCAACCACTAAAGGGAAATGCTGTGTGTCAGACTTCCAGGTGTTCTTTAATATAAAGAAAAGTAAACTTAAGTAGTTGACAGCTCCTGAAGAAACTGTATTGCTGTTACCTCTGTTCTGACACTTACCCTGTTTGCCTTTCAGATCCAGAATTACTTATTCCACCAAAACTCAATAAAAATCTACAATGGAAACTGCATCTTCTCCAGTAACTGAAAGCCAAGAAATCCCAGTGGACTCTGAACTGTAACTTTTCATGTAATCTCATTACATCTTTACAGAAAGCCTTGTTATCCTGGTGTTTCTGATACACTGTTCCTTCTCTGTGCAAGGGAAGGGTCCCTCCACCTGGTGCAGCTGTGACTGTGACCTGTATGGCATCATGCTAGTGTGGAGAGCCGCTCACATCCCACTGCAGAGCTGGTTTAGGAGGCTGGGGACTAATGGGGTGTGCAGCTCTGAATCCCACATCTCCCACCGTTGTTCCCTCCCATATGGATGAATCAACCCCACCAGTGCTGGATGGGCTGTTTTTTCTGCCATCGCTCCTGTGCATGGATGGTGCCTGCCATGGTGACAGGTCACATTTTAAGCTGTTCACCTGGCTTAGAGATCCCACCTGAAGGTCTGTACCAATATCATATTGTAGTAGCTGCTGAACAAATGAGTTGTGTTTTCTTTGTTGAAGCTGGATGTTGGTAATACCAGGTTTTCACCAGAATCACTTTGTTACATCGGAGTGAACACTGCAGTAAGAACAGTGTTGCTGTCCTGAAAGCGTGCCCATTCACACCAGGGAGATCTTGGGGAGAGGAAGGCATGAATACAAACGGGGTAGATCCAGTGTCGCTCACTGGTGGGTAACAGTAACACAGATTAGATCAGCTAATGCTGCTGAATCATATCAGCAGCTGTACCCTGATTATGCTGTGCACTATTGTGGAATGGTTTCAGCTGGAAAATGATGTAACCTCAGTCCTGAGAATTAGGTTTTACCCCAGAATACTTGTGCAACCTGACTAAAGAGGTAATGGCAGCAGTCCTGGGAGTAAAGGGCAGGGACAAGCTCTGCAGGTGAGGCTGGGAAAGCTGCCAGAGGCAGCAGGCCCCCCCTCCCAGCTCCCCCCTCCCACAGTTAATGCTGGCCTGGCAGCTGCTGTGTTCAGTGCAAGCCATTTCAGTTAGGCGCAGTGGAAAAACGCCAGCACAAACAAGGCACCTCCTGCTTGCTGGAGGTACCTAGTGACAATGGGCTGTGTTCTTACTGCACGGTGTTAGCGTGTGTGTAGTGCTGCAGGTCATTGATTTTGTGATGTGAGAACCCCATTGTACTGGGATGGATGGCCACCTGGGCTGTGCCATGCTGGCTTGGGGTTGTTGGAGTGGTAAAACAATCCTTTGTCAGTGTTGCATGAAGCATTGGAATGTTCTTCCAGCTCTTCTGAGTTACATGGCAGTGCAGGGATGGCTTAACGCTGTTGTCAGGTACTGTGACTGCACTATGAACATTCTCCAAGAGTAAAGCCTTGAGATGGCAAAACACATGAAAGGCTGCACAGGGATTTTACTGGATTTGGGTCTTCAAAATGATAGTAGAAGATAGTTGAAGATGAAATACAGAAGCCATCTTTCAGATCTGGAGAAAGGGGTGATGGGAGGGAGCGCATGGTCCTCACCAGGCTGTGGAGGGCTCTGGCCCTGCAACTGAAATTCAACACAGGACTAATTCCTGACATTTCTTAACCTGATGCTAGGAAATGTGGAGGTCTTGCATGGCCTAATCTATTGTCTAGAAAGTTTCCCTCTGGAAAACGCAAGAAAAGGTGAAACTGCTGCCATCTCACTGAGGTTTCACGCTTGTGCCAAAACACAGCAGTTCCCTTAATGTATGTATATGGGTACTTGTGCTTTTCCTCTACTGTGATGGTCAAAGCTGAAGACCCCCTGGTCTTAGATGTATTTTCCTGTCCACCCATCAAGGCAAAGTCACTGTAAACCTACCAACTGAGTGGAAGAGCAGTCTTCTAAGTCATTCATGTGGTAATTCATCAAACTGCATTGCCTTCCCCTACCCCTCTCCCTCCTGAGTGAACTTCGTCTAAGGAGCAGTACAGCTGGCAGCTGCACCTAGTGTCCTTGAGCCTCCACGGGGAAATTCCTGCCTCCTCTGCAGCAGCAGCAGCCAGGAATCTGCTTTCCCTTGATTCCTGCTAGGATGTGCTTTTCCTTTCTAAGTGACGCATGTCATCTTAAAATATACCCTGCCTTAGCTGATGTCTCTACAAACATGTTGAGTTTGCTCTTGTGAGTTCTGCGGAGGCTCTCCAATTCCTGATAACTGCATCTGTTTGTAAGCCATTAGTGCAGAAATAACACAAAAATGGAGTTAGCTTAAGACATGCCCCAGTTTCTGAGCAAACATGGCTACAGAGGCCTGACTCTCTCATTAAAGTAGAAGTTTGTCACCTGTCTGCTGTCTAGCTTCATTAAGTACAAAATACAAAAGGAAAAACACCCAGCCATTTGAGGCACACAATATCACAAAAATAATACTGTTCTGATAGAAATTTCTTAATTACACCAAAGGGTGGAAGGGAGGTGCTTTTGAATTGATTCAGGTACCCTTTGTCAACGCTGGTCTATCTAAAGCACCCAGTCTCTTCCTCAGAAGCACTTCTTGAAAATACAGGTAGAACCATGTTCTTCATATTCATACCTGTGAACCCAGAGGTCCTGGAAAGAGTTGAGTGAGGCCAGAACAGACCCACCAATCCAGACAGCAGACTTTCTTTGCGGGGATGCAGCTATGATGGGGCTGTCATGGGGGCACATCCTGGCCAGTTCCTTCTGGAAGCGGTCGGCAAAGCCCTCCATCATGGTGCTACCCCCACACAGCAGGATATTCCCCAGCATTTTTCTGTTGATACCAGCATCGCACTTCTTGAGACAGGCAAGCGTCAGCTGCAAAAGCCCTTGCTGCTGTGAGCCGAGTAAGACTGGTTTGAACAGCGCTTCAGCACAAAGGAACCTCTCCTTGCCTACACTGATAAAGTGCCCATCCGGCAGCTTGTAATCCACTTGTTGTTTCTCAACAGGCAAGCTCAAGTCCTGCTTAAGATCCAGAGAGGTGTAACAACACTTCTCTTTGAGATCTTGTATGATGTTTAGCTGCTGTTCTGTGAATGTGTTTCCAGACTCATTTAGTAACTTCATGAGATAACACGTGATGTCCGAGCCAGCATAATCTACTTTCCCAGTGATGCTACGTAGAATATAACCTTCATAGATAGGAACCACGTACGAAACGCCATGGCCACTTTCCACCACGAGAGCTGAGGTTTTCCCATAAGAGTACATGGATAAATGGGACTGGTATGCAAGGTGGATGGCAGGCATATGGAACCCTTCAAACAGCATCTCAGCATATTTCCCCTTGTCAGTGGTGGAACACAGGGGAGGCACTGACATCAGAACAGCATGGTCGTCTGGCTGAATCTTCATCTCCGCCTTGAAAATACACTTCAAAGTATCTTGGACACAGTTCCAGTCCACCACTGTGCCATGTCTTACTGGGTTGATGGGTGTTGAGGGTATGCTGCTATTCTGAAGCTCTTTTCCAACAAAGGTTTCTCTTTGATTGCTCCCAGCCTCACACGTGGGCTTACCAAATGTAGGTGAAACAACGTACAAAGGCCATGGGTCCCCTGCGAAGCCACACTTGAAGAGACCCGTGCCAATGTCTATCACTAATGCTTTAGTTTCCTTCATGGCCTTGAGGTTAGCTGTGGTGGTGGATTTGTGGCTGACCCTTAAGGCTGCCATTCCTGCAGCCCTTTCTTGCGCAGCTGTGACAGGGCACGGCAAGTGCTGGACACGCTCTGGGTAGTGCTGCCCTGCCACTGCTCCCTCCTGGCTCAGCACCTGGCAGCAGTGGTTCTGCTGATGGTGCTTATGACATCGTACCCGGGCTCACCCCTCAGAAACCAGGGCTCCACATGCAAGGGTGTGAGAGTCACGACCCAGCTGCACGCTGTGTCTGCACAGGGTTGCACCTTTGTGCTTCACTTCGACCTGTTGAGAGGTACTAAAACACATGACACCTACCCAGATCTGATGGACCACAGGCCATAAGCTGTGCGTTTAAATGTGGAGCAGCATGATTTCCTTGCTGGCTTGTGTCTGCCATATGAGGATGACCGCAGCTCTCCAGCGTTTGGAACTGCCAGTGGTCCAAAAGAGTTCCTGTTTATGAGGCATTAGCACCAATCCACTTCTGGGGCTAAGTGAAGCCCTAGTTTGTGTTAAAGAGTGAATCCCTGGACTGGCTGTGCTTTTGTCATTGCTTCTCTCTTTTTTTTTTTTTTTGAAGTAAGTTTTGCTTTCTAAATTAAGGCATAGTATTACTCATGTCAGCAAAAACTGAAGAGCAGCTAGTACTTGAAATCAGGCCACAGCCAACCGCTGCTGTCACCCATACCACTACAGGAACATCTTTATTCTTTTCCAGCAGCAACAAGGTCATTATTTGCCCCATCAGAGTATGTAATGACATGCTGCTGCTGCATGGGGGACATAGAAGAAGACACCCTCTCCACACAGTACACTGAGAGTTAGGAAAAGCATTCTCCCTGTACAACAAAAGCTCTGTCTGCTCTTTTAGTGAGAGCCATTTCACTCAGAGGGCAACCTACTTAACAAGCCAAAGCTGGGTTTAGAATGAAACTGAACACCACAAACCAGTTCTGGACCCAGAAAGAGATTTTTATCACTACTGCTCTGCTGCCTATCTGGGAGTTCACATCTTTACAACAATCAAATGACAGAGGCTCACCAAAATCTAGATGTGGAGAAACAGGACATCATTAAACTGCACAATTTCTGTGCCAGCCTCAACATATGCAGCGAAACAACTGCAAACCTCTGTAGGTTATTACTGTGGGGAGCAGCAAAGGTGGTCACTGCATATTATACATGTATTTTTATTAAATACATCCATGTACATTAAAAGCTGCCCCTCTTAAAGCCTGAGCAGTGACCACCCTGGCACCTGGAGAGCAGCAATGCCTGCTCCACAGCCAAGGGGAAGTTCAGCAGCACTGGAATTTCAGCAGAGTGGGTTTGCTGTGTCTGGTGCTCCTTCCCCTACACTCTCAATATACTTTGTGACAGTTTGCTGTCAGCCTTCCCAGCCTCTGCAACATTATCACTTAAGACAAACTTCAACAACAAGAGAAATTGTTTTTTTGTTTTCTCAGTAGAAACCTACATCTGGGCTCAATGCCACAGCTTCTGAATTAAAATAAACCCTTTCATCCAAACAAAATCTTCCAGACTCCAGTTCACACACAGATTAATGTGGCTGTACCACAACAAAGCTGCTAACACACCTTCAATTCAGAAGTCACTTTATTTTATGTTGGGTTTTGGTTTTGCCTGAACAATTACAAAGTTAGCATGCTGCTGTTTCCAGGCTACTTTTTCCCACATTACATTTGTCATTCCACTTAACAAAAAATACACGTCCACCAACATTCTGAGGCCTTTGTTTTAGCCTGAAATCTGAAGACAGACTGCAAGATAATTATTTGCAAAGTCATTTTGGCCAATGTTTCTTGAGATGTTCCTTTAACTGTGGGACAGTGGATAGGTGTTGCTTGCAACGATGGCATCTGAGGGGCAATTTGAGAAGTTCAGAGGCATCACCTTTCACCATCACTTTTCCCTTGCTTCTTACCATCTCTATCACATCTGAACAAAAGAAAAAAAAGAGATCAGAGATCCTGGGACCATGCAGAACCTCTGACACTGCTTTGCATGCACAGCATGTCATCACTGCATTCTGATTTAAACCAGTCACAAAATTCAGTTGACTTTACTTAGTGTTATTCCCCAGTATCTGAAATCATATAAAATCTTTCAGTTACAACAGAATTCATGGCTTACACATTTGTTTGGGGAAAAAAAGCCCAAAGCCAGAACCCACAAGCAGGATTACATGTTACGAAATACTGTTTCTAATCATTACCTTGAGAATTTAAGAAGTAGTCTGTAGTAAAAGAGTTCCAGTGCTTTTTGGTTTTCAGGGCTGGTGAATCAAAATCCTGGCTGATTACATGCAAATGTAGCTGACTGAAACAAATACATTAGGGAGACAGGAGAGAAAAATGATGTTAATGCTCAAAGCTCTTTTGCAGTAGTACCAGTTGCAAATGCTTACTATGCCTGACCCACAGAGTCCTTGCCACAGAAAAAACCCCCTCTGTCTCATGCCGAGTGTTTGACATTACAGATTTAGCCCCAAATCTGCATAGGGGTCTCCCCCCGCTGACTCATCCAGACCTTACCTCATGCTGGGGATAGCGTGGTACCCCATTCTGAACTCCAGACTCTCTCTGTCAGGGCATTCTTCGATCATTTTTTGCCCAACTGCATGCATGTGTTCCAGGAGTTCAAGATGGTCCCTGGTGACTGACTTCAGGCTTGAAATGGGGTCCCATGGCAAGATAAGCCAGTGGTAACGTGCTTTGGGATATTTATCCTTGATGACTACGGTCTTTTCATCTTTGTAAACCTTGTAAAACAAAAACAAGTAGATTATTTACTGATTGAAAGTTAAATATCAGATTCCTATAAGCACTATATTGGCTGGATTTTGAGATGTTATCCATCTGCACATCCCACTGTGGTTGCAGAGTCTCTAAGCACAGACAGGTGTTGCTGGTGCAAATGGGACTGTCAGGAAAAATGCCTGGGCAGATTACTACATGGGAAGAAATATCAAGCAGCAGAGCATTCACTTCAAGGAGGACCTTTGTAGTAACTAAGTTGGTGCAGGATATGCACCCTTGTGAGAACCTGGACATTGAGCTTGTCTCAAACACTGCTTACATTCCGTACTGTCAGTCACAGACACGAAACTGATCTTGTCTCAGGCACTCTTTGCATGTGACTATGGGAGGCCTTGAGTGTAAACAAAGCAAATAATAATAATGTTGGCTATCAATACTGTGTAGATAGGATTGTTCTGACCCTTTTGTTTGAAGCTGATAAGCCTCCACAGGAATGTGAAAGGATGACTTAAGGATGAGCTGACTCAGAGGACGGAGTCAAAAAACAGACACCAGGATAGGAGGGACAGCGACCACCTGGAGGACCCACTAACCTGCGCCCATCATTATCACAGTAACACCTATCTACGCTTCGTATGAAAATTATGGGTAACACCCCAAGAGAATATGAACATAAAAGCGCAGGGCTCAGGTCAGAGAGAGAGCTCCCACCACCAGTGACACCCTGGGTGAAGAGAACCAACAAGACATGGCTGGATCCACGGGTGGTGATACTTCATCTCTCTCCTCCTCTCCATTTCCTTCTCTCTCTCTTCTTTTCTCCTCTCTTTTTCATTGAATACTAACGAGACCTAAGTAAAAAATGTGTGGCACAGGACTTGCTGATCCAGCTAAAGTAATCATTGTTATTATATCTAACCACATGCCTTGTATTTTGTATTAAGTAGGTAGGTTGGTGTCATTTCACCTTAATTCAGTACAAGGGTATCAGGAAGTTGGTCATTGTTCCCAAGGGAAGGGAGGTTGTCCTAAACAACTCTTCAGGTCATGACAACCCTTTTTCATAGCATGTACGAGGCAGCTACAAAGCGATGTTCCAACAACCCTCTCTATGCACTTTAAGGAAAAGGTTTTCTATTGTTACACAGCAATAAGTTAACCATTGCTCCAGGTGGATATGAACTCTCTTGAAAATCACCTGGACTCAGATACAGCAAGGTCTAGGAAACTACTTCCATCAGGTGACATTCAAGTTTTGCAGTCACTGAAACAAAATCACAGCCCTGTACTCAACATTTTTTTGCACTGGACTGCTGCATCCCATGTGGATTTCTGGAGAGAAAAACAAGCCTCAGAGGTGCTACCAACAGCTTGCTCAGCAGTGCAGACCTCCGCCAGTGTTACAGAAACAGAAACATTCAAGTCCCACCTATTTCAGTTCATGCCACCTGATGTGCTACTTTGTAAGATCACTCTCAAAACAGAGAACAGATTCCTTGACCATCAGGCCCTTCTCCTGTTTTCGTTTTGGTTTACCTTCTGCAACACTTTGATGCTGAAGAGAAACAGTAGCAAAGTGTGTGGATAAGAGGGTATGGGGACAACTCGACCCTGGCAGTAAAAATCTGTTCATTTCTGCAGCAGAATCTGTCTGCTGTGTCTCTGATCCCCCAGCAGCGTGTCTACTGGTGAGAGATGGATGATGTCTTTGTCATCTTTGCTAATTACTCTCATATGTTTATATACAGATCTGATCAGTCTTGCTCAACAGGAAGGAAGACTAAAATTTTATCAGCACACAAATCATAGAACTGATTCTTTCGGCAGCAACACTGGTTGATGCTGTGACAGAATGATTGGGGTTAGAAGGGACCTCTGGAGATCATCTAATTGACCCCCTGCTAAAGCAGGTTCACCTAGAGCAGGTCACACAGGAACGCACCCAGGCAGGTTTTGGCTATCTCCAGAGAGGGTGACTCCACAACCTCCCTGGGCAGCCCGTTCCAGCGCTCTGCCACCCTCAGTGCAAGTTCTTCCTTCATGTGCAGCCAGTAGGAATGCGATCAAGAGCCTTCAGAAGTATCGCCATTTATTTAATATTTGACTAAAAAACAAAGATAGGAATTCTATGGTTTGTCTATTTAGTTCAGACGCACTACTAATAAACCTAACACTAAATCACAGTTTTTTGTGTTCTAACACAGAAGAGCAGTTTGAAAATCAGCTCATCTTTTTGGTCAAGAAAACACTGTCTTGGTAAGTGCTGTATGAAATTCTCTTAAGAGATAAAAATTAAGCTTCATGTTTAGAAAGTAAGCAAGTATTTCAATAGCTTTATCATTCCCCACAGAAATACTAATTTGAAACTGGTAGCATTTCCAAGAGAATGGGCATCCAGTTCTCTTACAATTCTATACAGTTCAACAATTCACACTTGAATTAAAAAAATAAAATAAATAAAATAAAATAAAATTAGACCTTCTAGTTAGTACCAAGGAAGTTATTTTCAGCTGGAGGTGGTCATGACCTTAAGGGGCTCAAGTGAGGCTTCAGGACCTTCGCCCCCGGAGATCATCTCAACTCAAATGGACAAAGGCTGAGGCAACCACACCAAGTGCGAGTGGTCAGACTGGGTCATCTCCAAAGGTTGTTTCCAACTGAAACTGTTAAAGTATCACAGGTGTCTGTGATACCTGTCCTCCTGAACACATACTCTTGCTGAGAAGCACAAAGGGAAAAACACATCTCTAATGTTAAGATGGCCATGCACCAGTCAGTGAGCCAAAACCTGAGCTAAATAAATGGGCCTAAGTTTCATGCCTCACTCCACCAGACAGTGTAATACTGCCAGAGAGCATTCTCCCTATTCTGGAGACAAAAAGCTTGTTTTTGAGAAGAAGTTGCCTATGTATTTGCCATATCTTAAAAATAAAGGAAAATAGGTTCTGCACATGGATAGGGAAGATTCTCTGAGGGCTCTCTCAGAATAGAGGAACAAGGAAGTGTGCGTACACTGCAGCCACAAAAGACATTTGACAGGTTTCTGCATCTTGAGTCTGAACTGCCCAAAACCAGGCAACAGCCAACAGAAAAAGAGCTCAAGGAAAACCATTATGTAGCCACAGGGGAGCAGCAGGAGTGAGGTGCACCTGGAGCATCTGCAGGAGGTTAAAGGAAACACCCAGGAAATTCCTGTTAGCACAAAGAAAGCGGGTGGAAGGAGGAGCCAGAGTCACATCCTGTCAGCTAGCATGGAGGTGCTGCAGTTGAATTTGCTGGGAACCAGGAAACTGCACCATGTTTAGTAAAAATAGTGCCTGCTGCTGGAAATAGGAATCTCCACTGCATGCTCAGCTTCAGACTACACCTCCATTTTAGATGGTTTCCCTGAGGTAACAAAGCAACAACACAGCTCGCCTGTTCTCCCAAGAACCTTGCTGAACTGTGGGCTAAATTTAACAGTGTAGAGAGCTCAAAGGTAATTAGGATAATGACATTCTGCAATGAGTATAGTAGAGACTCTCAAATTAATGCTAGGACAGAGAGAGATAGAAGTACAATCAGCCCTTATGCAGTACTCCACTGGTTAATCAGGTCATTAAAGTAAACTGCAGAAGGAACAAAGAAAGCTCACTGAACTTTGATAGACAGGAACTATTGTAAAGTACAAGTGTACAGCTTTCACCTGCATTTTTGGATCCTGCATGGAGCTCTTTAAACCCTGACTCCAGTGTTCTGAGTGTTCCTGAAGCACAGAAGGAAAAAAAAAAATTATTTTGTAAGATACTTAAGAACGCAGTTGAATGTTTTAAAGCATTCAGTGAAGTACTTTCATTAGTATACAACAGTAAAAGAACAGCTGAATGACAGCTGAATTACTTCCTTTCTACAAATGCCAACACACCTGCTCCAATTGCCCCAACAGAGCTACTTTTGAAAACTTTTAACGAGATGCTGTTAGGATTTAAGGTTAAGTCTTCCGAATGTTGGAAATTTAAAAACACGGGGCTCTAGTTCTGTTGGAATTTAATAACTTGCTTGCACATGCTATGGCACACTCCTCCATTACTACTGATGACAGATTATTTACTAAAAGACCCTCTGCCTCATGGATCACACCGAGTACAAGGGCCAAAGGAAGTACAAGGATGTCCATTAACTGTCCTAACACATGCTGCTCTGCACAGAACACACAGAATGGTTGTGGTGTGTGGCCCTACTCTTAACGTGGATCTATTTTTTCATACTGTGCAAGGAGTGGCTTGTACAGGAAAAAAGAAAGGCATAGAAAGACCAAGCCAACAGTAGCAGGTATCTCTTAACTTGGTTACTGAATGCCTAATAGAAGGTGCCTTTAAGTGCACTTTTTTCCAGATACCATTTTAATTGTTCAGATCACTTTACAGGCATTATCAGTGATGATCTTCATCATATTCTTATCTAGAGAGATGTTTAAACATTATAGTACTGACAAAGCAATAGTGTGAATCGTCTTGTCTGGCACCAATCTAACTAGCCTGAATTCACAAATTAAATGAGTGGTCAAGCCACCACAACCTGAGACTGATATTTTGTGCTGAGGGGTTTAATTTCTGTGCCTCCTCCTCCAGCAACTGCACTGTTACAGGTCCAGATGCACTAAGCAGTCTCTTATTTTGTCCACTAAACTCTAAATTTAGTGCTAAGAATTCCCTTTCCAAAGATTATGGCTGGTAGCGTTCAGTAACGTAAACATGGTTCTACCATAAGGAATGACCAAAGCAAAAGAAAAAAACCCACACAACAATTTAGAAAAAAAACCAAAACCAAACAAACCGTGAGTGTCAAGGTGTCCCATTCTCTGTGTGTAAGCTTTTAGATAACCACTGCTCTATTTGTTAACACTGCAGACTGCATCTCAAGAGCCAGCACCGTATCCTTGTATGACACCAGCTAAACTCTCATGTGAGTTGTCCTTCTAGCACAAACGGCAGCAAGAGCCAGAGATTAAATCCTTCCTCACTCCAAGCAAGCCCCTTCACGGACACACATCCCCCCCAGCACAGGCTAGAATGGGTCCTGGGAAACCTTCTCAGTGCCTGGGTCATGCCAGGCGCAATCTCTGCCTCAGTGCACATTAGCTCACATGCTCTGAACACTCTGAGGATCTGTGTTCACCTGAGACACTTCCCATCACAAGTACCCACAAAAGCCACAATGGAGGAGACAACCCCAGCAGAAACAGCAAAAGTACCAACACCTGCCTTTTTGCTCGAAGTTCCTTCACGTGAAGGTATGCCAGTATTGCTTAGCTTGGGATTTGCAGAACTGCACTGTGTATCCCCCACCTCCATCTTCATTGTTTTTCTGGGCACAAACTCTACACCATCATTCTCGCAGGACTCCTCCCGTGGCACCTTGTTGGTTTGTATTTTCTTTTTTGCTTCTGTAACAGTTTTCCCTAATTCTTCAGCAAATTGCACCGTGTAGGGGTAAAGTTTATTCACAATATGCAGAACTTGGCCTGGCTTCATTTTCACCTCTTCATCCTTGCCAATATCCACGAGATCAACACTAGTTGGGTTGACTCCTATCTTTCGTATGGACAAAAAGGAAAACAAATAGCAAATGATATTGTAACTGCAATTGCCAAGTACTGCTCCATTGTCCATGGATTTTAATTTTGTACCTCACACTTTCACAAAACCAACACTGTTATGTATTCTGTTCTAGTAGAAAACAAGGACAGAAAGGTGGTCAAATTTTTACTTGCCTCTCTTATTGCATCCATTTCCAGCTTTTTGCAACTCCAAAATAATTTTCCCCTCAAAACAGTGTTTTAAAGACTGAGAATATACCTGATGTTTTAGCTGATAATTGAAAAGCAATGCAACTTCCTCCATCCCAGACATAACTGATAATGCAAAGTGGCAGGGGAAACCTACAATGATGCATTTTGCCTGACCATTATCACATCTTTGGCTCTATCAGCCATCAAAAAAACCCCAAACCTTCCACAACTGCCCAGTCCCATCTCCCAGACATAATGCCTGGAAGAACGGGTTGAGGATTCACAGCAAGGTTCCCTGATGCTGTCTGAGACTGGAGTATATCCGGAAGGAATGGTGTGGTCTTTCCAGTTAATGAAAAAAAAAAAAAGACAAACATATCCCTTCCAAAGACCACTCATTGTGCAATCCTTGGTCATAAAACAGCTACAGGTCGTTCAGACCCAGTGACCAAAATCATCCCTTGCAGCATTTGTGGAGTTTAAGTACATATCAGAAATACTGTACACCCATTTAATAACGTACCTGTTTAACTGTGACATACCCCTTGTTACAGTCAGCTTTTAACTGAACTGGAAAGAAAGAACAAAGTGTCACAATGTAGTGTCAACAAAAGGGCCAGAACTTTACTGAACCACCCTTGCAGAAAATACTCCTGTATTGTAAGACCTGCTACCTTCTGAAGCTGATCTCTGTGAATGTATGAAAAGAATACTTCTGCTTCATCCTCTCTTCTCAGGACCACAGGTAGAACAAAACCAACTCATACACTGAGTCACACCTGAGTATTTCACACCATGATCAGCACAATTACTTCAGAATACAGATGAAATCTGTGGAAGTCTTCTACACATTCCTGCTTTTTTATTCTTACCAGCCCTTTGTGATAAGGCATGGAGCAGGACTGTCTCCAGAGGGAAAAAAGATTAGGCAGGGAAGACATGAGGTATTGTTCTGATTTTGACAGGGACAGAGTTAACTATTTTCTTCCTAGTAGCTGGTCAGTGCTGTGTTTCGGCTAGCCAAAGGGGTATTCCATACCACAGCACGTCATGCCCAGTATATAAACTGGGGGGAGTTATCCAGAAGGCCCAGATCACTGCTCGGGTCGGGCTGGGTATCGATCAGCCGGTGGTGAACACGTGCACCACTGTTGGGGTTTTTCTTTTTGTTTCTTTGTTTTATTCCTCTATCTTTTTATTATTATTATTGTTGGTTTTACCATTATATTCTACTTCATTTAAATTATTAAACTGTTCTTCTCTCAACCCATAGAGTTTACCTTTTTTCCCCCAAACAACTCTCCCCCATCCCTCGGGGGAACAGTGCTACTTAGTTGCTGGCTGGGGTTAAACCATGACAAGCATTTCATAGATCATATATATTTTTATATACTTTCCCAATGCATCTATAAGTCATACTAAAAACCAGTTGGCGGAACACTAAAGGGATGAAGTGCCACTCATAAACCAAGAATGCAGGCCATGGAACATGACTGTGGGTCTTTGGACTGATGTTCAGGTCCAACACCCCAGTTCACAAAGGTGAACTTCCTGATCTTAGGTGTCTCCTCTGCTTTTTTAGGACCCAGAGAGGGCCACAAGTGCTTATGAAAAAAGCTTGATAACTTCAAGAATCAAGCAACACTATGGACCATGTGAAGAAGGGACACCATGAGCCAGTGACTGCAGAAGCAAGCCCAAGGAAAGCCTGCTTCAGTTCCAAGGAAAAACTGTGATTTCACATCTAGACCCTGCTCAAAGTAAGCTTACAGCTTATGCAAGAATATTGGTTCGTTAGCTTTACTGGTTTTAACCAAACAGAAGAGTGATCTTTATGGTGCATGGCAGGGAGTTAGAACTAGATGATCTTAAGGTCCTTTCCAACCCAAACCATTCTATGATTCTATGATAAACATCACATACATTTCACAGGTGTGGTTGCTGCTGCATGTAAGGAGTGGGATTTGAGCTAAACCTTACCTTGCTGACGTGAGCATTTCTTATCTGCTATCCCAGTCTCTGGGCCACGCCCAATCACCACTGCTTCCAAGTGTGGCAGTTTCACTCGCTGATCGCATTTCTCCTTCCCCACAAGCCAGCACACACGCATCACTGTGAGAGCAAAACATACAGCATGTTACTAACATGCAGCTTCCCCATGGGTCACCGTCCTGTGGAACGGGGTCCAGGGATTCTGCTGCCAGCCTGTTCATTAGCTGAGCCACTTCTGCTAACTGGGTTCATGCTTCTGAAAGACAAGGCCAAGTGTGGCATTAACACTAGTGTAATCTAAGGGCAAGGTGCTGTTGAAAGGGCAATCCTACTTCCTTCCTTATCACTATACATTCTTACAGATCATACATGGGAAAAATCAATTGCATCAACGGCTCCATCTGACTGACAAGCCTACCCACAAGAAGCAGCTATTTGCTTCCCAGTGAATAGGGGTTGATCTGACACATTAACTTACGCACCAAAACAAAGAAAGAGGCAGAGCACCGAGAGGGCGACAGAGGGGCACAGCTTCACCTAGGAACAGTCTGCAGATGGACTATGCAGGGAAACCGGGACTCAAGTTTACACCGACGTGACCCTGCAAAGCTCCCTGCCTGCTGCGTGGCACTAAGGGCTCCTCCTCCCAACTCCCGATGTAAGGCAACCCTCCGTCCCCACTGCAGCACACTCAGGAACGCCCGGCATGCGGTTATGCCC